ATTTAGTAAATTCCGAAAGTATTCCTTTCATCGTTCGACGATTTCCGTTTCTATCATTATAAGGTCACCTACTTCATTTCGCATAGGCTGTGTTACTCCAACACTTGCACCTTTTCTGACTGACTTCACTTATTCAATCTATTTTTTTTGTTTTTAGTTTCAAAATTTCTTCGCATGCATTGTCAACCCATTTCCGTTTTGGGCGAGTCCTCTTTTTTCAATGGTTTCCTTGGCTGCTTGTTCTATAACTGATGCCACTTGCTGCCAAGCTTGTTGTAACTCTACATTATGCTCTTCCTCTCCCAGCAATTGGAATCTGTTGTTTATTGTCACTTGATAATGCAGTTCTTTATATGGTGTTTGTAGAGCTTCTATGTTCCATATTTCTCTTTTTTCTTGTTATTCCAGTTTCTGTATTGATAATCGCGTTCTTAACTTAGATTTCAACAGAAAGTGATCGCTATTGCTGTCAGCTCCTCTCATACTTTGCGAATTAATAATGCTACTAGAGTGTCTTGCGTCAATGAGGACATGATCCATTTGATTTCGTGTTCTTCCATCATTTGAAACCCACGTGACCTTGTAAATGTCCTTTCTCTCGAATTGGGTGGATTTAGCGATCATGTTATTAGATATTGCGAATCGTATTCTTAGTCGTAGGATATTCTTGATTATATTTATTATGTATATTATTGTCTTTTCTGACAGATTTTTCAGAGCTCTGTTCGTAATGTTGTCCGGTCCTGTTGCTTTCTTGATATTGGTACACTTGATCAGTAAAATTTATGTTATCCTTCCTTCCTTTACGATTCCTATATATTCTTTCTACTTCTTTTATGAAGTCTAAATCTTTATCAGAATGACAGTTCTTAAAAAATCCTCTTTTGAGCATGTTTTTCATTATTTCCCGCTTTGTCTGTTTTTGTATACGCTATTCCATTTTCTCTATGCAGGGGTGAAATAGGTTTTTGTCTTCTCTTAGTACTTTTGATAGCTTCTAGAATGTGGATTTGTTTGGGTCTAGCTGCTGAATATAATTTTTCCAGTTTTCGCTTCTGTGTTCTTCTAATTGTTTTCTGACTTCGCTGGTAAGTTCGTTAGCAATTCTTTTATCTTCTTGGTTTCTTGTTTTGTTGGCTCTTCTCATTTTTTGTTTTGTCTTTTATTAGTTGTTTTAGCGCATAGCTAATTTCTCTGAACCTTCTTTTGTTGGTGTTTCTTCTTCCTTAGTGTTGGTAGCATTTTTTATTATTCTCTCTAGTTTAAGAACATAATCTTTTAGTTCTTCTTTTGTGTTTATAGCTGGTATTGCTCCGATAGTTTCGCTCACTATTTTTTTGCAGTTTGGCCAACCTGTCCTTTTTTTTGCTTTAGCAGATGAACAACAGGGTTTTCGTAGTAAAAGATCGTCTACAAAAGCAATATTCGTTCTAAAGCAAGTTACTGAGAAATTACTAAAGTATAATAGACCAGCATTTCTGTGTCTGGTTGACCTAAAGTAAGCGTTTGACAGAGTAAGACTCAAATATGTAATCCATTTTCTCTATAATAAAGAAGTTCTCCTAAATATTATAAAACTATCGAAAACATCTAACAAAACAACAAAATGGAAGTCAGAATAGATGGACAACTTACAGAATCTACAGAAATATGTTGTTATGGAGAAATTTGTTAGGAGAAAAATTGCTTTTATAGACGCATTTAAAAGAATTTCAAATCTAAAATGATACTGGGCGTGCCATATTGCTAGAGTCAAAGATGGAAGATAGACTAAAAAAAAGTCAGATTACATCAAGCTTATCCAACACAACTAGATTCAAATTGCTCAAGAATGGAACCAATGGAATTATCTACGGGAGACGTCTGTTTAGCAAATGGCTCAAAACGGCTAATGATGATGATAATGATGTATCATACCACATTAATGTACACTATGAAATCTCTATTGTATGTTAATAATGTACACTATGAAATCTCTATTGTTTTTTATTCTGTCAGCATATCTGATTATTTATTATTATTATATTTTTATGTTCAATTATTGTTTATTGTTACTACTATATTTTCTGTAAATAAAAGTTGGAATTACAGGCACTATTATTAAATATTAAGTTATGATGTTTATTTTTTTCCACGTTAAGTGCTATCTCAATATAGTGTAAAACACCCAAACGTTGGCACTCGACCATCGATTGACACACTAACTTTTAAACTATATTAATAAAGACAATAAGTCAATTATCTAAAAAAAATGATACATATTTCAAATCTGACAACATATTACTTGGTAGTAAACGACTGCTCGTGCTTGTTGAGATCTAGTGTGGCTTGTGTTTTATATGAATATTGTGGTGACTGTACCAAACAAGGTAAGATATTTATATACAATAAATTTTTAGTAAGGATAGTGCAATGTTAAACTGCTTTGTAGATCAGGTTAATTTTTGTAATATACAACACAAATTTTTACACACATTTACGGACATTTATTGGTTTAACTTTGATGGTATATAAGGCAAATATCGAACACAGTAATTAATTAAATCTTGCCCAAGTACTTTCGATCAATAGATCATCCTCAGGGGCATCTGAAGTAAGCCAAGAAACGTTTTTTTTATAAAAACGGAAAATTAATTCACTTCGATAAAAAACTCGAAGTTTATGGTTGAAAAAAGTTTTTATGTGATAAACGTTTATAGACTTACTTCGTCAGTTGTGGCCTATCCGACATGAGCAGAATGTCATACATGTAAATTCGGACATAACAAAACAATACACAAAGACAAACAAACACTCTAAAATTTGTAAAAAAGGAGAAGCTACATGTTATATAGAAGCCGGAGACAGAATGGCTCCAGGTCTGGCGGAAATATTGAGATGACATGTGACAAATGACAGCTTGCAAAGGGAAGTTACACTAGATCTGCACCTTTCAAAATTCTATGAAACTAAGTATTGACCAAAGGTCCAACTGACACCACTATAGAAAATCAACTGATGAAATATAAAATTATATAGTATATTTTTTTAACTAGATTGAATAATCCAAATCTCACACTCAAACCTGTCTATAATAATTAGGATGTTAGTTTGAGAGCAATTGAAGTTGACATAAAGTATGAATGTAAGAAAAAGACTAAACAATATATTAGACAGTGGATGGTTGACTACAATAAAATGGTCCACCAAGCGCTATCAGTACTGTAAAAAACGAAAAATCTGAATATGCAGTTAAATTACTAAAAGTTAAAATCAAAACTGAAAGCAAAATATATAAATGGGTTATCATCCAAGTAGTTCAGTTGAATCTACAGTCAATGGAAGAACTTTAAAATTAGTATTGAAATACTCAGTGCATGAAGTCTAAACAGTCGAGCTGGGTCCTCTACGAGGTGAAGCTGTAATAAAGTTTTTAAATATAGGATTAAATTTAGTACAATTTAAATTATTTGAGTATTAAGAAAGTGAGAGTTTTCATTTGTTTCCCTTGTATTCTTCAAATCTTCCAATAAATCCAACTCAAGATAGTTTTTCTTTCTACTAATGTCATGTAAGATAGATGAACCAGAACTGATGTTAAAATTGTGGTTGCTGGATACTAAGTGTTGACCAAAACTTGAAGAGTTTGGTCTTTTCAAATGTTCAGAGACTCTAGTGGATAACTTTCTGATGGTTCTACCTACATAAGAGGCATCACAATCATCACATTTTAATTTGTAAATACCACTTTTATCAAGTATATTCATCCTATCTTTGGTATTGATTAAGAAGGAACCTAAAGTGTTATGTGATTTGAAGGAAATTTTGATGTTATTAATTGTAGAAGTAAAAAGTTTAGATATTTTATTGGAAATGCTACTAATATAAGTGAAGGAGAAATATCTGATGTTATCTGAAGCATTAGGTTGAAAAAACTGTGATGAATATGCAAGCTTTTCTGCAATTTTTAGTTTAGCTCTATTTAGAAGTTTGTATATAATGTTAGGATCATAGCCATTATTGAAAGCAATCTGCTTAAGAGTATTAAGTTCTGTATTAAAATTATCATTAGAAAGAGGAAATTGAAGTAACCGATGAATGTAACTGTTAAAAGCAGCACATTTTGTGTTGAGTTGGGTGATTAGACTCAGACACAGCACTAGGACTTATCATGTTAGCTGCTTAATAAAATATAAATTATATAAAGAAAAATTTATTTGTAGCACTTGCTTTGCTAATAAAAATCCTGAGAATATCTGAATGTAAACACAATATAAGATTTCTTTTACTTTAGTTGTTTACTTAAAATAATTTTTTAGTTGGTTTACCAGAATTTAAATTGTGTTTTGAAGAATACAGCATTTTGATTTCTAGTTTGGTAATCAATTTTTTTTATTTTGTAACTAACTGAATTAAAACATATACTTTTTATTTTGATATTTTGTTTTAATTGTGTAGGTGATCGTTTAAAATTACCTAGGTAGGTACCTAGGTATCTACGTATCTTCCACAAAATAATTGGTGTCAATATTTGGAAAATATATAGTGCCAATGAATAGCATATGGGTGCCAATAAATCGAAAAAAAAAATCATAAAAAATACATATTGATCATAATGGAAATCATTTGATTATTTTAGAGGTAATTTTATTAATATGATCCCCTTAGAGTGCCAATCATTGGGTAGTTTACCCTAAACAGTTTTTAGTTTTTTGCAAGAATGTACCAAAATATTATATAGTGTATATTGTATAAAATAACTAGACATTACCTGTTCATTTTTAAACTAAAATAGCATCCCTCGTATACATACATTGACAATAACAGTATTTATGTTCCAGCTGTGCTATATGTCTGTTCAATATCTTTGTAGTTTTGTACTCTAAAATAACCCTTATACTAGACTGATATTGTTTCTTATCTAGTCAACGTATATGAAAGACAAAAATCAATCAAGCAACAAAGCAAACTTTACTAATATCTGATATTCCCTTGTCTTGGAAAATATAAAACACACTCACCACATAATGTGACAACTTCGTGGGGTCAACAACAATACGGTGTCCATAACAAGTGGGTCCCTTTTCATCGTCCTTGTCTCCCGCCGCATTTTCATCAAGATGGCTTTTGTCCACAAACCAATCCGGAGTGGCGTTTGATTCTTTCCTAGAAAATCTTCGGAATCGGATGGCCGCCTGAAGTGTCGAGGCAATTTGTCCTAACCGATTTCGAACAGTTGAAAGTAAACGATTTTGTTGAGAATTATCCTGCAAACAAAATAGGTACAAATTGAATGATGTTTTACGACGAAAACAATAAAAGTAAAATAAATATAAAGGTCACAAAGAACTGATTTGATATGTAATATACTAAAATGACTTATTTAATTTGATTTAATTTTTATAACTACTTTATTACTAAAGACTACCAACTTATGGAACAGGATACTTTACATGTCATGTGTATGTCCCGCACTATCTAGTGCTTTGTTTAAAACCTAGGCATTTAAATTCTTATAAAAATATAGTTAATTAAAAATTATTATTCCAGTAATGAAGAGTAGTTTTGCAATAGGAATAATAAACTTGTAAGTATACATGGACAGCTCGTACATTAATATATAGAGTGTGGAAACCACTTATGGAATAAAATTGTTTGTGTTATTATTATAGAAAATAATCAAAAACTCTCGGACACGTTAACTTTTAAATTTAAATGTGCGCTTTTTAAACATAAGTTTAAATGTACAGGGTGATCCACGCACGTCTGGCATAGTCCGTAATCCTTATTTTTAATGAAACACCCTGTATATTTTTATGTATTTAAAATACTTTTAACAACCTGATTTTAATTAACTATATCATGTAGGGTCTATCATGAATAATACAAGGTGAAATTTTGAAATTAATAATTTATCACATGTTATGATATTATTTTAAATTAGCTAAATACAGACAATAAACTTCTACTCCAAGTGTCAGTACACTGTATATTCGCGAAAATTTCTGTTTAGTAACCGTGTTAAAATTTTTTGTCGTGAATAGGTAAAAACTGTATAGATAGTCTGCTAATTAAACTAAATCGGTAAATCGGTAATCAGTTGACATGCTGTTGACATTTTACATTAAAATAATAAATTCTTAATTAAAAACTAATTTCTTTCAGAAATAAAAATGAAATATTTAACTAAGGCCCACCGAATTGAGATTTTAATGATGATAAAGGTAACCTCTTTGGCAGTTGAAATGGATTTTTGGAGGAGAGCAGCGGGAAAGTCTCGATTAGAACATGTGAGAAATGAGGACATAAGAAATCAAATGAATGTACAAAGATCAATTATAGAAGACATCGAAAAACAACAACTGACATGGTACGGACATGTTAGACGTATGGGGGAAGAAAGACTACCAAAAAAAATATTAGAATGGGTACCACCAGAGAAAAGAAAACGAGGACGACCACCAACAACATGGATGCAAGGAATTTCAAAGCCATGTCAGCAAGAAAATCTATTTGAAGAAGACTGGCAGAATAGACAGGCTTGGCGAACGGGAACCCAAAGGCGGATTACGCTATAAACGGGATATATATATGATGATCGGTTACGGGGAGAATTGTAGAAGTCAAGTTGAAGTAGTAAACTTATTTAATCAAAGTTATCCTCAGCTGCCTAATATTTCACAAGGTACTGTGTCTAAAATGTATCACAATTCAGAGAACTTAAATATGCGAAACCATTAAAAAGAAATCGAACTTCATTGAAGATGAAGTGAAAGTGGATATTTTGTTAAGTGTCGCAGATAATCCAACGTCAAGTTCACATCAAATTGCACGTCAAAATAATGTGAGTCACACAACTGTCCTAAGGTGTCTCCATGAAGAAAACTTTATCCATATAAATTGACATTTGTGCAGGAGCTAACAGAAGAAATGAAATAGCTCTTGGCACAAATTTTTTTTTTCTGATGAATCAAAATTTACATTGAACGGTGGGGTAAACTGACAAAACTGTAGATATTGGTCGGCGGAGAATCCTCATTGGATGCGTGAGACACACAGTCAGTATCCTCAAAAGTTGAACGTTTGGGCAGGTATTATAGGACATCATATTATTGGTCCTATATTTATAGATGATAATTTAACAGCGAAAAAATATTTAAGCATGCTAAGAGACAATGTTCTTCCTTAGTTGGCTAATCAACTTATCAACTAACTTATATCAAAATCCAATAGATCCGACCCTACAGTATGAAAATTGTCTGGTTCCAGTAGGACGGTTGCAACACCCCATTATGATTTAATGGTAAGAAATTACTTGAATGAAATCTTCTTCAATAAGTGGATTTGATGAAGAGGACTAGTGAGCGGCCAGCTAGGTTACCAGATCTTACGCCTTTGGATTTTTTTGTGGGGTTATCTCAAGAACAAAGTATATGCAACACAATCAACTATCATTGAAGACCTCAAAAAGTAAGGATAACTACAGAAATAAGGAAGGTTTCACCTCAAACTTTAAAAAAGTTCGGAACGAGTTTTATAGGAGACTGTGTTATTGCCAACAACAAGGTGGAGAACATGTTGAGCATTTATTTTAATGTAATCCAATCAATTACCTCGGGTATTCTATGAATTCATTGTCTTGAAGAAAATACCTACCTAATTTCAAAATTTCACCTTGTATTATTTATAATAGACCTTACATGATACAGTTCGTTGAAATCAGGTTGTTAAGGAGCTTTTAAAAACATGAAAATATACAGGGTGTTTCATTTAAAATACGGATTATGCACTATGCCAGACTTGCATTGATCACCCTGTACATTCAAATTTATGTCTAAAAAGCGTACATTTAAATTTAAAAGTTAAGGTATCTCAACGTTTTTTATTATTTTCGAAAATAAGGACACAAACAATTTTATTCCATAAATGGTTTCCACACTGTATATATATATATATATATATATATATATATATATTTATATATATATATATAATATACATATATATATAATTTTTTAGGAATCTAAAAAATTGGCTTTCTGCTCTAAACAAATCAATCGATCTACATTGATACAATTCACGTAGATTCTTCAACCAAGGATTCTGCTATCGACCAACAGATCTTCATTTTTGAATTTTTCTCTGTGTTATGAGTCTCAAAATTTCATATTTTGGTCCCCTCATCACTTGGCTTAGGTATTTCAGTTTTCTTATTTTTATTTAGTGGTGATTAGTGTTCTGTTTTCTCTACCGTAATCGTAATCGTAATCTTTCTTTCAATCCAGCAGATTTAATTCTTGTATCTCCTGCATTTCACCTCTTTCATCTTGGAAAAGTTTCCTAACGTCATCCTTTCATCTTCTTTTTTTGGTAAATCTATTAGCAGTACTCTTGTCTTGTGTTTTATGTGTCATTGCTGTCTTATTCGACCCATTCCGCTCACTTCTTCAATTTTTTGTGCATATTTTTTTATATCATATTTTGTTTCTATCTTTTATCTCTTTACATTGTTTTATGAAATACATTTCCTTAGCTATTTTGATTTTTTCTTTAATTATTCGCTGTATTTATACTTTTGTAATATATCTTTTGTCATCCATGGTTTCTTGGCCTCTAACCTGTTGTGTCAAATATACTTGAGCTGGTTACAATAATGTTTTTTTTTATATTATTCTCATTCTATTTACATCTATAATTTATTTGTTGTCAGTTAGTGTATTTTGCATATTTACATTTGCTGAGTTTGACCGAGAACGTCAATTTTATTATCCCAAAAATATGCAAAAAAGTTTGCTACACCTACCCCGTGCTGCCCCTAAATTTTTAAGTTTTTTTATGACCCGCATGACATCAATAAAATTTACCACTTCCATTGATCCGGAAACTATGAAATTTTTATTATTAGAGCCTAATCACTATGAAATTTTTATTATTAGAGCCTAGTCTTTAAAAACTATGTCATAACATTTCGATTTTGAGTTTGGGCAACACATATGAGGCCTTTGAAATATGCTTAAAAACGCTAAATTTAAACACTCACATTACAAATTTTGTAACTGAGGTTGTGTAGTATTAATAAACTTACTTGCATAATCTGAATGTTTTAGATCGTTTGTAATGTGAAATTTGTAATGCATTTTTCCCAGGTTTTGAAGATTGAAAAATATACCGAAGTTTTAGCACCACACAGTTAGAAAAAAGTATTGTATTGAGTACTTTCGATTAGCTCCAGGTTTTTTATTTTTGTTTTTGTTTACCGACCTAGGCATATGTCTTTTGATTTGTGTTGTATAAATTAGACTGACAATTGTACTGTCTTTATCTTCTCATGTCTGTAACTTTATAAAACTCTTCTTTGAAAGCGTTGATGTAAATAGGCACGTGTAGGCAGATGTGAGCACGTGAAACGTTTATTTTTGCTTAAACGGTACAAAAACTAGGGATTTTTTAGGAGCTACATACTTGGTAATTTGTTCACTTTTTTTTCTTATTGTAACTCTTTACTGACTAGTCCCTTTATTTTGTTCACCAATACTTATACTTTTATCTGCCCCATCCATTATCCTTTAAATAATAAAGTCATTACTAATAATTAATAAGTGACAATGTGACTTTAACAATTTAATCAGAAATCTAAAAATGTAATATCGGAAAGGGTAATTTACTTAAAGTAACGAAGTAATATTATACCTTGTCTACAAGAAACATCTTGTAGAGTTGACTTAAAGAACTTAAAGAGGATTTTTTCCTCTTTAAGTTATCTCAAAAAAATGGTATAAAATCTACTGACCAGTTGTATCACAATTAGCCTTACACCCTTTCCTCGCACAACTCCACAAAAGGCAGTTCGATTTTAGCGTCTTTCGCAATTGAAATTTAAAACTATTGGTATCTTCACTTTTCGTCCGCAGTAGCTCAAAACGTAATCAATGAGCAGTTCACTGTCCATGTTAAAGGATCAAGGGCAAATAATGAGAAATTTTTCTTTTCGTATAGTTTTAGGTAGCTATTACAATTGCATTTAATATATCAATTTTAGATTTATTCTGTCAAATTACCAAATCCTTGCGGTTTGCAAGGGGTTTATACTTGCTACGGAGTGCAGGTAGGCCAGTGATGAGTTTACCAATCTCTAGGGGTCTATTTTAAAATTCCTACTTTTATGGCAGTGATGAGTTTGTACTATGTACGAGGGTATTTATGCTAACTGGTAATGAGTTTACGTGTACCCGGTAAATTTGCCGACCTCCTCATTTGTTTTCTAACT